TTCTTCATATACTGGCTGGAGATTTGTACTTCTATTTTGTGAATGGAATTTGGCTTACTTTTAGAATGCACTGATTTTTCAAGTTGAAGTTGGGTTTGCAACAGGAATACATTTTCCAAGTATTTTGGGGACTGAAGTGGTTTTTGCTGTTGACTATAATATCCCTCTAGGGTGAGGGTGTTTCTACCTTCATGTTGTGATGTGCCTGCTAAAATCAGCACAGAATGACTTGTGTTACCTTTTCCAAGCAGTCTCAATGAGTGTTATTTTGGGTTAGAGAGCTAGACTAAGAAACGACACAGGGTGAGACAGCTGTCACAAGCTCCCCAGAAAGTGGCATCAGATTTCACAATTTCATGGTGACTGCTCCTTGGAAGCGTGTCACTTTTCTAAGAGAAATCTGGTGCTTGAAAGAGAATTTGCCTATTTAAAAAACCTGAATATATAAAAAACCCTGAATACATGAACCATCTAATTCCCAGGAGAGAGGAACAGCACAGAAAAGGGATCATTTTTCTTTTGTTTTGTCATTTAGAGATCTGGAACTAGAATTTGGATGCTTAGCTCCCAACTCTTAGGGAAGGTAGGGAGTAGAGTGGTTGAAATTGTTGCTTCTCAAATTGGGATCCTACTGAATTAGAACCTTCTGCATGAGCCTTGGAACATGATAAACCTGACTTCCAGTTCTATTCACATCACTGGGTTTTAGGATTTTGGCAAATTACTTAAGATTCTGAGTAGCAGTTTCCTCATTTGCAAAATGGCGTTGATATTGTTGGATTGTCATGAGGATTAAATGAACTAGATTGTTGTATTAATTAGGGTAAATGTTAAGATGCTGTAACAAAGAGGACCCCCAATTACAGTGGCTTACAGAGCACAGAGGGTTGTTTTTCTCTTTCACATAACAGTCTTCCTTGAGCAGTTTGGGTGGGCAGGGCAGAGTTGTCCCACATATTGTTATTTGAGGCTCCTGGTTCCTCCCAGCTGGATGCTCTGTTATTCCTCAGGGCATTGTACTTGTCTGATAGTTTGAGACCTGGTTGTGGGTATATCAACATTCCAGTTCTTAGGCATGTGCATGGTTCACATTCCACAGGCAAGATCATATCATCTGTATACAACTAGGCCCAGAGAGGCCAGGAGAATGTAACCTCTAACTGGTCAGCCCATGTCCACTCTAGACACCTTCACTGCATCTGTGTCAGAAAGGCTTCCCACAGAGTCTGTCTTGATGAATTTCAGCTTCTGTTATGAATCATGCTCACTGTGATATTTCTCAGCCTGAAAGTACTTTTACCTTCTGATATTGACACACAGCTTGGGCTATATCACATGTTGTGATATATCACTACCTCCACTATTTGGCCAAGGTGATTATCCAGTTCTTTCTAATTACCTGGACAGGAGGGAGATGGATAGTACTGCAGTCACCGTGGGATTTAGCTGCTGCGGTGTATTTAGAATACTTCCCCATGTGTAGGAAGCTGATTAGCTACATTTACTAAGTGCCTAACAGGTGCTATTAGCTTTTAATGATCTTAATTCCCAAAGCAGCTTGGTGGCAAAAAAGTCAGTATTGGGCCTCACCTGGTGGTGCAACGGTTGAACACTGGGTTGCGAGACTGCCGGCAGTCTCTGCAGCGCCAGTTTGATCCCTGGCCGCTGGCGAGAGTCCCACACATGCGGGAAAAAAAAAAAAATAAGGCAGTCTTGGATTTTTCCTTGTCAAGTTTCCCCGGGGACAAATATATTTGCTCTCAGCATCTGTAAGCTAGGGACCAAAGGAATGTTCTTTGGATTCTGAAGATTTCTAGCCAATGGGGTTAGAAACAGAACCCATATTTGGCAGAAAGATTAGACCCTAAGTTTGAAATTGCTCTGACTTGATCCCAGGGGTAAATGGATAATGCTCTCTCAAAGCTTTTGCCTTTAGAAATGAATCAGGGAGAGGATTTTTTTTTCTTTCTTCAAGAACAGTTTGTCTTCTTTGGACTAAATTGGAAATCCATTGCTTTGCTAGTTTTCTTGTTCAACATCCTAAGAATGTCCTTACCTTTCCCCAAATAATTACTTTGCAGATGAATGCAAAATAACCTTTTGGGAATAGGTTTCCTTTTTTTGTTTTTGAGTTTATTTTTGAGTTTTGTATTTGAGTTTATTCTTCATTCAACTTTAAATCACTATGATAAATGACTATTAAAAACAAAAACAATTACAAGTAGTGAGCACAGTGATTATAGTTCCTCACTCATTCACAACTGCATATAAATGCCAGCAGTGTTATTCACTGGCCCCAAGAAGAGGCCTGACAGCCAACACTGCACCTGGGCCGATAGCCATTGTCCTTGTAAGCTTCTCCATTGTGACAGTATCACTTTTTCTGACTTGGATCAAAGTCTGCCAGTTCTATCTGATGGACTTCTACTTCTTTCCTTTTGTAGGAGTTTTCCCAGCAAAGAGACTTTATCAGGAGAGAGAAAACGATCCTCAGGAAAATTTACCTTAAAATTAATGATTAAGTGACCCTTTTCGTAAGGTCTAAGATGAATGGGTGTACCTTCATTTAGCACACACTTGATATCTCCATGCTTGACAATCTGACCTGAATGAGAATGTTAGCCACTTTAGAGCAGGGAGGGTGCTGCCTAAAGAAATTAAATGGCCAACAATACTTAGGACCCCAGGAAACACTTGCCAGAGCTGATAAAGCCTGGGGAGAGCCATGAAATGCCCAGAGGGGAGAAAGGCAGTCCTCCACCCCAGCCACAGGCGGGGGTGATGAAACCTGAGGAGGGAGAGCAAGAAGCACCCAGAGGGAGAGAATTCTTTGAAATTGACCAGTTTCTGGATGATGAAGCAATTCCCTTAAACAAGTCAAGCAATTCTGCCCCAAACCCTAATCGCTCTCCTTCCTGCCCCCCTAGGAAAGGGCCTTGCAACTCTGGCCAAATGCTTTCCTCTACCCCAACCTGTTGCTGGGGCTGATGAAACTATTCCCTGGAAGCACAGTAGAGGTGGGAATGACTTAGAAATTGCTGCCTGGACTGAAAACCAACACCCCGGAAGCAGCTATACAGCACACCCCAGGAAAGGACAGAATAAGCAGTTCCTGTACCTCATTTAAGACAGGAGTCCCCCACACTCCCTCCCCTCACAGAAGCTCTTCTCAGGACTCTGCCTGCCTGCACTTCTTTCCAGGTGTATTTTCATCCTATCTCTCATAAACTTTTCTTTCCTTTACCTAGATGTGGTAAAGGAAATTGAATTCAATATATAAGTCATAGTCAAGGACCAAGAAACCCAGAAATATCTAGGAACCCCAAAACCCGGTAACAAGAGGTGATTATTATGGTTCAGTTTTCAAGAGTGGATACTTGTTTTTGGAAGCCACACAATAATGCTTCAACCAGTTAGTTGTATGTTCATATGATAGGGTCTAGGGATGGGGAAGAAATCGGGTGAGACACTAAGCTGGTATAGTAGGAAATCTGCACACACATACTGTTTATGGCCTGTCTGCTCTGAGTTAATTTTCCAGGCAAGGACACATCTGGAGGAATGCAGGCAGCCAGTGCTTATCCGAAGACTAGCCTCAGCACAGTGGGACGAGCCTGAGGCCAGGTGTCCTGGGGGCTAGACATCACAATCTTCTGGCATTGGGGAAGGCCTGCTTACTCCTGAACCATCTTGTTCAACTCACTATAAAAAGGCAGCTGGAAATGAAATATGAAGGTGGTTTATTTAGGGTGTTAGTTCCCCGTCCTGTCTTCCAGATTGCTGGCTGTCTGATTAAAGTGCACCTTAAAGATTCAATGCCTGTCTCCACTTTATTGGCAGTTGGTAGCGAGAGGTGGTCCAAACTCCTGTCTTCTGGTTACACACACACACACACACACACACACAAAAAAGGTCTCACTTAGTAAAGGCGGTGTGGTCCTTCTGATCTAAACCAATGAATGGGTGTACCTTCATACCTCCTGGTTCTAGGTCTCCTTCACCATGGAGTGTTACTTTCTAGTCATCTTTCATGCCTTTGTTAATATGAACTTCTAAATTTTTCTTCTCTTAATGTTCCTTCCATGCAGCTTTTATATCTATCTTTAGGACTGATCTGTTCCCCATGGTCCTGAAATTCCATGTCAAAGATTGAAGTCACTGAACCATTCTGGGTCTTAGCTGATGAATTCTTTTTTTTTTTTTTTTTTTTTTTTTTTTTAATATTTAAACTTATTTATTTATTTATTTATTTTTTTTTATAAATTTTATTGTTATATTCCCCATACAATTGCCGCCCCCATTCTGACCCCAATCCCTCCCCTCCCGCCCCGCCCCCCTAAAAGTGTCTCTGGTTCATAGTTTTTTGTTGATTTTGATTTTCACTTTCTTATAGTTTTTCATTTTCCTGGTCCATTATTTAAGTTTTCTAGATTCCTGCTATGAGTGAGACCATCCGGTATTTTTCTTTTTCTTTTTGGCTTATTTCGCTGAGCATGATCCCTTCCAGCGCCATCCATGTTGCAGCAAATTGCATGTGTTTATCTTTTTTGAATGCTGAGTAATATTCCATGGTATATATGTACCACATCTTCTTGATCCAGTCATCTATTTTTGGGCATTTGGGTTGTTTCCAAAGCTTAGCTATTGTAAACAGTGCTGCTATAAACATAGGGGTGCAGGTGTTCTTTGGAATTGATGTTTCTGTGTCCTTTGGGTAAATACCTAGGAGTGGAATTGCTGGGTCATATGGAAGCTCTATGTTTAGTAGGTCCAGAAATCTCCACACATTAGCTGATGAATTCTTATTTACATTCCAGTCCCTGCTCCTTTCTTACCACCTCTGCCTTCACATTTGTCATAAATCACATTCTTCTGCAGAACTAACTTTCTATTTTTTTAAACATCCTTGTTTATTTTTCTACAACATAGGATTTCTCTCCTCAGGTGCAGTCACCATAATTTTCCCATCATCGTAGTGCTCTATCACCATTCACTCTGCTAAAAATACAGAAGGCCTCATGAATTTGCATGTCATCCTTACACAGGGGCCATGCTAATCTTCTCTGTATCGTTCCAATTTTAGCATATGTACTGCTGAAGTGAGCACAGAGTTAGCTTTCTTTTTGCACCATTTATATAAATCTTCTAAGGTTACTGAAAGTTAATGAAAGACATTTTCCCCTCTCCTTTCTCTCTGCATCCTTCCTCCTCCTGCAAAAAACATATCAAAGATGCCCTTAGGGGAGACCAAACAACCACCTGCTCCACCTTCTTTGATGGCTTGTTCTTTTCCTTTGTCATATAAGTGCCTTTTCTTTGCATTAAAGAGCTCTTCATAAGATTGAGAAATCTGTTTAAACTCTCCTTCATTTGGACTCTTATCAGGGTTGTAATGAAACAGGGCTATTGAGGGGCTGTAGCCATCCAAGGACAGTGCCCGATAGAGGACAGGTCACTCTTTGTGGGTTTTCACCTGTGTGCACAATTGCAAGACCACTCAGGTTCATGAACAGCAACAATGGGGGTTATTTAACAAACAGGGGCAACAAAGAGTTTTTAAAGTCACAGGTGACTGGCATCTCACCCTAGATAGTGTCCACAGTGTTCAGAAGACACCCACAAAAGACTGCTCATCCAAGATGGCTCTGTGTCACCAATGAGGGCCTGAAGCACATGGCAGCTGGTAAGCAGCGGCTGGGATCCAACTCACAGTGGCAGCAGGAGGCGCTCAGAAGTGGGGTTGCTGAGATGTTGCCACAGCAGTCCAGGGCAAGAGTCTGAAGGGATGGAGAGCACCGAGGCAGCAGCTCTGGGAGGTGATGCCAGATGACCAGATAAACAGCTCTTTGGGATACCAGGCTCAGGGTCTTTGGTGCTCTATTCAGGGGATGGCAGAAACAGGACCAGTCGCTGTAAAGCTCTTCAATCTCTCCTAGGACGTCGAATGCTAGAAGCGTCTTCTTTTTCTTTTCTTTTTTTGGAGGCCAGTTACAGAGTGTGAGAAGTCTGTGAGTCTCAAGATCCTCCTACACTCCCTTATATCCTCTTTTAGGGTGCCCCGTCTTAGTTGATACCTCCTGACTGGACATTTTGTCTTGGTTGGTGCCAGGAGGGGCTGCCCATAGGCATCAACTTTTGGTGTGGTCAGGAAAACCACCATGTTTTTCAATGGCTGCTGCTTAGGGAGTGGTGGGAAAACGCCAGTCTTGTCCCGCAGTCCAAGCTGCAGGCCCTCGGTTTCAGGACTTCAAGGCCAGATTCAGTAAACCTTCTTCAATTCTTCCTGGGTACCATTGGATTTGACCTCCAAAACATCATGATTTCTTTTGCCAATCTCTACATCCAGGGGAGTGAGCCAAGGCTGGGGTGGGGGAGTGAAGCAGCCTGTGGCAATGCCTTCGGGTGCCTCCATCTCTCATGGGGCTTTCTGGAAAGTTCCTGGAAATGAATTTTCTTAAGACTTTTTTTTTTTTAAAGATTTATTTATTTATACAAGCACTGGGTATAGTCAGAAGCGTGTGAGGGTGAGAGAATTCACAAGAGCCAGAGAGGGGAGCAGAACAGGCAGACCGACAAAGTACACTGCTGAGGGGAAAAGCGGGGGCGGCAGGAGAGGTCTGCGCACCATGTGGGACCCTCACTGGCTGGCCGGGGATCAAACCGGTGCTGCAGAGGCTGCGGGCAGCTTCACAGCCCAGTGGTCAACACTGCGCCACCAGGGAGTCCCAATTTTCTTAAGACATTTGACTAGAATTTTTTTTTAAAGATTTATTTATTTATTTATACAAGCACTGGGCACAGTCAGAAGCGTGTGAGGGTGAGAGATTTCACCAGAGCCAGAGTGGGGAACAGAACAGGCAGGCTGACGAAATGCACTGCTGAGGGGAGCAGCGAACATGGCAGGAGAGGTCTGTCGCACCATGTGGGACCCTTCACGGCCAGCCAGGATTGAACCAGCGCTGCAGAGGCTGCGGGCAGCTTCGCAGCCCAACGCTCAACTGCTGCGCCACCAGGGGAGGCCTGACTTTTGACTAGAATTTTAAAACTCCAGCTGTACCACTTACTACCTGCATGTCACAATATCTAGGCTTTCTATCTTTATTTCCTCATTTATTTTATTTCTTTATGCATAGAAGAACTGGGATGTAGACCAGAAGTGTGGGGGTGAGAGGAGTCACCATAGAGTGGGGAGCAGAACAGGTGGATTGACTGAAATACACTGCTGAGGGGAGCAGTGGGTGGGATAGGAGAGGTCTGCTGCGCCATGTGGGTCAGCTCCCTGCCTGGGGATCAAACTAAGGCCCTAGAGGTGATAGCACTGAGACTTAATCTCTAGGTCACCAGGGAGGCCCCCTATTTCCTCATCTATAAAATGGGATTAATAACAGTAACTACCTCATAGAATTGAGCATTAAATGAGTTAATACAGTAAAGTATTTGGCAGAATTCACATGAAAATCAGGTTTTTGTGATGTTAATAATTAACTAAGCTTTAGGAATCTTATTGTGCTAGTTAATTTTAGTAGAGGTGATATATTGTTTGAAAATGTACTAATATATGTGCTAAACAAAGCTAAGCATTTTTGCCTTAGTCACCTTAATCATACTGAATTTATTTGCCCAGTGATTTACTTATGAAAATTCACATCAGCGGAAAACTAATTTCTTCTTAAATTTACAGTGCTTATTTCCCCCCTTGCTACAGTCTATAACCCAAATGTTGCCTTTTATATATCATCTAAATAGATGCATAAAAGTGGAATTTTCTCTATCAAGGACTGTTACATTTGAAAATGAAAGAACCAGATACAGCTTCCTATTCAAAATTTCCTTATTCCAACATTGTTTTATTCAAAAAGATAGATGACTTTCCAACCACTTCTTCCTCCTGAAATTTTAAAATACTGCTGTATGTTAGCTTTTCTAGCTCTAGCTTATGATTCACTTTTATAAAATTATTTGAATTTATTTAGAAAATATTCCTATCATTAACAGAAAATAAACTATTGAGATGTTGATAAATAAAACAAGTAAAGTACTTTGAGTAGTACCTGGCACATCATATATAGATGTTAGCTTTATTATTATTATTAGTAGTAAAATCACTTGTAAGGAAACTGCAACATGCTCTGCCTTACCCCCTGCCCTCCCTGGCAGGCATCAGCACCTGTCTCAGGAACATTTTACTCTTCACACTTTTGGTATTAGCGCTACCATGAGTCTGGGCAGGGCACAAGGTTACCCAGTACTCTTGCCTGTGTTGAGGACCGCGGCATTGGAAGGTCCTTGGTGTCTCCCAAGAAAAGAATTTTACGAAGTGCCAGAATGAAATTTGTTAGGAAGGGACAGGACAGAACACTGCAAGAGGCAGTAGGGTAAAGCAGTAGGGTTTTTAAGGATTTTTTTCCTTTCTGGGAGGGAGAGTCCCCTTTTAATTATGCAGACCTTGCTCCGATCACTCTCTTAATTTTGGACAACTGGAACTACCCTAGCTCTCCCTCTTTTCAGGTGGGGGGAAACTGTAGTTAAAAGCCTCCCAGAGGGCCTCCCCTGGTGGTGCAGCGGTTGAGCGCTGGGCTGCGAAGCTGCCCGCAGCCTCTGCAGAGCCAGTTCAATCCCTGGCCGCCGGTGAGAGGCCCACATGGTGCGCAGACCTCTCCTGCCGCAGCCGCTGCTCCCCTCAGCAGTGTATTTCGTCCCTCTGCCTGTTCTGTTCCCTGCTCTGGCTCTGGTGAATTCTCTCACCCTCCCGCGTTTCTGACTGTAGCTGGTGCTTGTATAAATAAATAAATAAATCTTAAAAAAAACAAAACAAAAAAAAACAAGCCTTCCAGAACTGCAGACCTTATTTCGTCCCTTGCAATAAAGTGAGAACCCAGCTGGACAGTGGGATGGCAGAAATGCAGCTGTGTTCCTCTGGGGGAGCGTGTGAGAGCCCTAACACACCTCTACAAGGCTACAGGACCAAGATTTCAGCAATGGGATATGAGTGGAAATAACGCATGCTACTGATAAGGGACTGATCACAAAGAACTACAAAGAGCTGACAAGACTCAAAAAAAAAAAAAAATCTAGTCAAAAAATGGGCAAAAGAGCTAAAAAGACAGGTCTCCAAAGAGGAAATGCAAATGGCCAATAGGCATATGAAAAAATGTTCAACATCACTTGTAATCGGAACCACAATGAGATACCACTTCACACCAGCAAGAACAGCACATGTTAAAAAAAACAAAACAGCAATCAACAAATGTTGGCAAGGATATGGAGAAAAAGGAGTTCTCCTACACTGCTGGTGGGAGTGCAAACTAGTCTAATCACTATGGAAAGCTGTGTGGTGGTTCCTCAAACTACTAAAAATGGACTTTCCATATGACCCAGCAATTCCACTCTTAGGTATCTACCCAAAGAACACAAAAAACATTAACTCAAAAGGACACCTGCACTCCTACGCTTATTGCAGTTCTGTTTACAATAGGTAAGACATAGAAACAACCCAAATACCCAAAAATAGATTACTGGATCAAGAAGATGTGGTATATATACACAAAGGAATATTACTCAGCAATCAAAAAGGATAAACTGCCATTTGCAGCAACATGGATGGAGTTGGAAGGGATAATGCTCAGTGAAATAAGCCAGAAAGAAAAAGAAAAATATTGGATGGTTTCACTTATAGAAGGAGTGTAGGGGAACCAAGTAAGGGATCAGAAAAAAATTTATAATAAATAAAAAACAAAATTAATAGGCAACTATTAATCAAAGACACTCTGCAGGGGAGGGGGAGGAAGAGGATCAAAACAGGGGAGGGAAGAAATCAAGGGACTAGAGTTATGGTGCATGGGTGAATTGGTGGTGGGAATTTTACAGGAACTATACCTGAGAGGAGAAAGCATGCATTGTGCAAAGAGGAAGAATGATATAAAAATATTTTAAAAATATAATAAAAATAATCTTATTCCTCACTGCTCTTACTGTCACTTATTTTGTGTTTTTATTACTGTGTGTTACATTCATGGTTAGTTTTTCAATCATATCTTCTAGTTCATTCATTTTCTCTTAAGCTGTGTTTAATTTGCTTTTTTATCAGTTGAGTTTTTATTTCAGTAG